CCCCAAAACCCCAAAACCCCAAAACCCCATTTGAGCAATAAATCTAAATTTTACGCGATATATAATAATTGATATTTGAATTCAAATTAAAGATCATCATGGTGGAGGCAAGCACAGGTAAAAAGACTACAGTAAAGCTCTTAGAAACTAAAAAAACAGAAACAAAGCCAACAATAGACGATTTAAACACTCTTATTATGGAGAAACTCAACCAATTAGAATCTTCACACAAGCCCTCACCAAGCGAGGAAGCCTAGAAATAATCAAAAGCAGAGTAGTCGTAAGTATTGATAGTTTCATTGATATTTGTAGGGAATTATTGGTTAAATTAGATGCAATATTCTTGAACACAGATTTTGATAATAAAACTAAGGTGGAAGAGTTAAATAAATTCTACTTAGAAGTAGTGCATGAATAACTTAAGAATGAACACAAAAAGAACATTTAGCTTAAGTTAGAGGAGGAGGTCAATGATTTAAAGATATCTGTATACGAACAACAAAAGTAGAAAGCAACCCTCATTCTTAACAAGCAATAGGTACTGACTACTGAATACCAAAACCAGTTTAAGCAATTCTAAGAGAGGCATGCTCTTATTATTCAGGCTGAGACTTAAAAAAGAATGGAGATCATTACTAATTTTGATAATCATCTCAAATAAATCAAGCAGTAGATGGTTGAAGATCAAGAGAGGATGAAAACTGAGAATGAGATCTAAAAGGAAAATGACCAATTAAAGAAGCAGTACGAGGAATTGATGAAGGAAATCGAAGAGAAGACTGAATTAATGAGAAAGCAGATTGAGGAAAAGGATTCATAAGCTGGAACTATTGAGGTTGAAATGAATAAAAAGATATCATCTCAAGAGGAGGAGATTAAGAAGTAGGTAGAGATCTACAGGGAGCAGACCAAGATTAAGATTGAGGAGGAGAAAGAGTTAATCAAGGTGTTTAATGACTATAAAAAGAAGCATGACGAGTTCAGCAAGGCCATGAAGAAGAGCAAGGAGACCTTCAAGGTTTATGAAAATGAAATTAAAAACATGAATGTTAAGATATAAGAGCTTCTTAAGTAGAGAAAGGAACTAGATAAATCAAGGAAAGGAGCGAAGAGTGGTAAACATGATTATGATAAGTTGGTCTCTGACTGGACTGTCGAGAGAGAGGCACTTAATAAAGAAAGAGATAATCTCAAGCAAATGTGCAGTGAAATCCAAGAAAGTATTAAAGCTAGGACTCAAGGTAAATCAGCAAAGTGATTAAAAGATCTAAAAAGAACTCTCTAGAGTATTTAAATAATTCATTCCATGATTCATAATTTATCCCTTTACTATGATTTTCTTATATTTAGCCATGGGGTTTTGGGGTTTTGGGG